GAAATTAAAATGAAAATCAACTTTCAGGAGAGACAGAGAGAGCAAAATACATTGCAATATCTACATCAGACCCAAAGGCGTTGCAACAACATTTAAAACAAAAGCACCCCTACTCAAACCAAAATACATTGCAATACCTTTCAAAAAAAAAAAAAATACAAAATGAATGGAAACTCGGTGGTGGCACATACCATGACTCCAACACCATGCAATACTTCACATCAAATCAAAATAAATTAGAAAAACAAAACAAAAGGAAACTAGTGAAAGAGATAAACAAGAGATCAAAGAGATGAATTATATTTTTGCTTTAACTCTTTCCGACCTAGAAGAACTCCTAGTGAAAACAACACCACACATGAAAGGAACTTCATACCAAGTTTTGAACAAGGCATGGGGTTGTTACCTGCTTTGTGATGAAATTTACTTGCCAATGGGATTAAATGTAAAGAAGAAGAATTAAAAAAAAGGCAATTTAAGACATTTTCTAAACAAAAAAGTGCAGATACACTAAAAGAGCAAGTATTGTAACACTACCTTTCGGTTATCCTATCAAGTTTTCTAAGTGGGAAAACTTGCTAGATAAACAAATTAAACTAAAATTTACATAAAAACTTTTTCCACTTCAAACCTAATGAGATGTTTAGGAGATATTTCAAGAACAATTTTACTTATTTCACTAAAAATATTCATAAAAAGGAACTTGAGGTGGGAGAAATAAAAATTACACAGAAGAATTTTGAAAAATAGACATTCATAAAATTCTTAGCAATGACAATAGAGTGGCTAAAGATCAAACATACAGTAATTTATACCTCAAGTGAACTTCCAATGATCATAACAATTGCAGCTGTAAGATATGACCGAGCAATAACTAGCATCTACTTGTACCATTCTTCAATAGCTTGAGCCATTCTTAGATTTTAGGGGTTTGACTAGGAAAATGAAAACCCTAACTTCGAATATGATTCTTACAAAAAATACAAGCACGAAAGATCAGCACTCTGCCTAAGAAGAAGAAGAAGAAGAAAAAGAAGGGGCGAAGCCCCTATCTCAATAGTTTGAGAGAATAAATAAAGGAAAAAGGATAGGTAGACCTGGAAGGAATAAGAACACATCAGGTTAAAAGCAAAGTTCGGCCAATGGAGTCATGGATAACACCTATTCTCGACGAAGAAAAAGCCTTATCATCCATGGATAGCACATATCCTTCAAAATTCTTCAAGTTCTGAACAACAGTAAACCCAAGTTCCTTATGTCTATCATCGATATCCATAGAGAAAAAATTTACGTCCTAACACTTTGCTTGAGTTCTTCTAGTGAGAAGACAGAGAAGAAAAGAGGAGGAACTACTTTTCGGTTTGGCTATAGAATAGGGGACAAACATGACTGTAAAGTCTGAAAGCTCAGCTACTCCAAGTAATACCTCTTATCTCTTGTCTCTTAATTACTTAAGGCTGCATTTGGAAGCGATGTAAAACTCCATCAATGTGAAAGTTTATCGATGGTGTTAAACACCAATGGTTTAAAACCTATGGACTATTGTGATTTGAAAAATTCTATTCTAAGTGGAGTTTTACATTGATTTACGATGTAAAACTCAACTACATCCAAACACTAACAAATCTGAACCGGAAGTGGAGTTTTACATTGATCTTGATTTACACTACAAACAAACGTCAACAAAAACGAACCAGCGGTGGAGTTTTACATCGATACCGATTTACACCCCAAACAAATGCAACCTAAGAGGTATTAAGAGCATTTGGTTCTCATTTGGTTTTCAAACTTAATGAGCTATATATCATGTATAGTGACAAAAATACTCATTTTTTTTCCAAAAGTACCCTCAAAGGTTCTACTTTTTTATGCATGCTATGGTTACCTTATACAACAACAACAATAATACAAGAAATAATAAAATAAAAATAAAATATTAATAGTGAAGTAGTTTTTAAAAATTATCATTTAAATAGTTAAGACTAATTACACAGTTATCTAATTATACAATTATTAATAAAATAATATTTAGAAATTATTATTATTTTATAAATTATATATTATTATTTAATTACCTATTTCATTATTTGATTATTCTATTAACTAATAATTAATTGTTTTCATTATTTAATTATTTAACTAATTTAAATATATTTAATCATTTAGTTATTTAATTATTCTATTAATCAATAATTAACTATAGGAATGATTAATAATAATAATTATAAATTATTATTCATTAATTAATTACTTTAATTAACAATGTAAAAAATTATTACTTGTTAATTAATTAATTAATGGTCAATTCTTTAATGATATTTAATAATTTATAATTTTTATCAATTCCACTTTTATTAATTATTTTATATTCATTTAATTAATTTGTTAAATAGTTAAACAAACTTTTCATATTCAAGGTTAAAATGGCCATTTGTTACTTTTTAGAATTCAGCATTCAAATTTCATAACAACATTCTCTACATTCAGACTTCAGAACCAAGAAAATTTTATAAACTCCAATACACCTCTTAAAGTAATTATTATAGTTTCAAACACATTTAGACTTCAAAATTCAGTGCAAACGAACAAACCCAAAGTCTTGAGAATTCTCTCCTCACAAGTCTCTAAAACCACCTGGCAAAGTCTTTTCCTTTTTTGTTATTATTGTAATACATGTGTCATAGTATCCATTTTCATTTCTCACTTATATTGCTCTCGAAACCGTCTCTCTACTCTCACATGGACACATGTTGTGTCATGCAATGAAAATATCTCATTGTGTGTGCAAAGTGTGAGCACATGAGTTTACAGTGAATCTACAATAAGATTTCGTTTTGTGCATGGAGAAAGCACCCCTTTTGCTTTAATATATATACTAGTGTGTGAGGCCTTACTATGTAGGGCGAGTGTTGTATGGAAAATGAGTTATTATTCTAAGTAGAGAGATGGGGAAAGGGAAAATAAGTATAGTGAAGAATGCCAACATCATCATTAATTTTACTTTTAAATTGATCATGCATAGATATTATTACCATCAATCATATTTTGTTCTCTGCTTATATAGAAACTAAGAAATGTGCGATATAATGATTGACTATTCATTTGTTCTTGACTACATTTAAGATCAATTTGAGGACCAAAAGCCAAAGCATTTGGGGCTAAAATTGGTATTAGATACTTTGTGATTTTGCCATTAGTTGACCATTCCATTGAACCCGTGAACGATTAACCCAAATGTAACATTATTTATCGTGGTTTAATTGGAGTGATCAAGGGAACTTCATGTGTGTATATTTATTATTAATTACTTGAACCCAAAGGTTTAAATGATTAATGGTCAGTATGTACATGTGTGGTTTGCCTTATAGTGTGATAAAACTGATGAGAATGCAAAATATCATATTTTTCTCCCTTAATGTTTAGTCTTTTATACTTATTTAGTGCATAAATAGACTCATTATTCTTATATTTTGATTTAGGGCACAAATGGAGGCGTTAAGTGAAAAACAGAGCTAATTGGGCAATTCTGGACAGTTTCGGCATCACTTCATAATCTAGGCATAACTCTCTCATCCGAGCTCCGATTGAGATGATTCAAGATGCTTTAGACGACAAAAAAAACTATACAACTTTCATGTTTTGAATTTTAAGAGATACTGACTGAATCGAGGTCAAAATCGGGCTCGAAGTAGCTGCACTTGCACTGCTGATGTGCTGGAAACGTTTCTTAGCCCACAAGTTTTCATATGCGGGAATTACCACCCTCCTAATTACATTAGAACTCTATTTTATCTTATTGTTATTATTTTTCTTGATAAGTCAGAATTGGATACTGTTATCTGGAGAGAAATTTTAGGAGATTTTGTAGGCTTTTCTTGGGGGATGGGAAGTGGAGAGAAAAGAAAAGAGGAGAAGGAAAACAAGGAAAAAGAAAAAACAATCAGACTTGGTTGCCACACCTCCTCTCTTCTTCTCCAATTCTTCCATGAGTTTTCATCATGACCATGTGTGGCTCAATTCTGATACTTGGTCAAAGGAAACAGAAGCCTCAGAATCAGCAAAACTGTGATATCTAATTTAATTTTTATTGTTTGATTTATGCTTTGAATATCGAATGTTCTTCTATGCTTATGTTCATGATTGTTTTGTCTAATCGCTAGGAGGCCTACTAGTTTATTATTCGTTGCAATCTATTGTTGGGTTAGATATCAGATCTGTAATTGTTTGATCTCTCTAATCTGAGAAGCAACTAGGGTTTAATGATTTGCTGTGTTAGAAATTGTTAGATCTTAGGAAGAACACTCAACTAAATTAAATGCAACCGCTTGTGCTTGTGTTGTTTAGTTTCATCGATCTCCAATTCTTAATGCTGCTACTAGATTAAATCTTGAACGCTTGTTTCGGGTTATTTAGTAGTAAGGGTTAAGTAGACCACTTGTTTTCTAATTAACTGCAATTAAGGAGAGAGAGGAAAATAATTCCTACGGTGAATATTCAAAGTGTGAATTGATATATTTTTGCATCGATGATTAGTAGTGAAATTCTGATGGTGGATGTTGACTTAGACCAAGAATTGTTCTTTTTATTAATTTCGACACTTTAAATTGAATTGCTCCTCATTTGATTTTCTTTCTTTTTAAATCTGGTTTGAGTACCCCCCATCCCTGTTCATGCAACACGAAAATAGGCTAGATACTCTCTGTGGGAACAATCCCTACTCGCACTACTGCATGTGTTTTTAGGAGTATAGGTTTTATTTTTGGGTGCCTGCGACAGCACGTCAAATTTTGGCGCCGCTGCCGGGGAGTTTTTCTAGTTGATTTTTGTGCTTCTTGTGATCCTTATTTCGTTCTTGAAATTTTCGAAAAAAATGAGAGAGATCGCTTTGATTGTTTGTGTTTTTTGCGTGGAATTTTTTTTGTTTTATTTGTTTATTTATTTTCATCACTTTAGATTTTTTTTATGATATGTCATTCATGGTTTATTAGGGTCCTTGATTT